CAGCTGAGTAGAAATCGCATAGTAAAGGATTTATTATGACAAAATATATATTCAAAAAGTATCACATACTAAAAATATGTAGCGTTTGATTTTCATCTAAAAGAATGTCATGCTTAATGAATAATTACTATCGAGTTTGTGTGTAACAGATTCTATGGCGATCTGTCTTTGGTTCTCTAAATCAAAAGGAACAGTCGTTGCGTGTCGGGATAGATAAATGTTTTCGCTCATTTTTAAAGAAAATGCAAATCGAAAACTTATCGAAAGCTTGCATTTTATTATAAATGTAGTGATCATAAAAATTAGCTCAACTGGATATATATGTTAATTTATACAACTATCGATCATAAATATAGAATTTCGTAACAATTAGGAAATAAAATTGGAAGATTAACCAACTATTTTGTAAACTCACTTAAAAAACGACTCTGTCAAGTCAGTACAAAAATAAAGCAATAACGATCTATCAGAATTATCTGAAAAATTCATTGTTTCTTGACAATTCCCCTTACTCATACCTAGTCAATATAATCCATTCGAAAATGTGGTAGATCTTAAGCGGCTACTGCTTCTCATCTTCCTTTTACTTCTTGCTTTCTGTTCTTCTTGGAGTAGAACTCTTCCGCAATCATTCGGAAAACAAAAATTGTTATCACCATAATGGTTAAGAACGTCAAAAATCTAAAATCTATTCACGCTTTATTATAAGCATCCAGCAGAAACATATAAGCTTACTAGCAACAACCCGTGCATACTGTACGACTACTTTTAGCTCATTTAACGTACGACCTCAAAACTTTGACCTGTCATCCGATAAGACTATACCGACTCTTGATATTATGTTCATAGATAGTTCTACGGCCTCATAGTCTTATATCGCACAATTTACTATAGAACATGTCGCTTTACAGCCTTATAACCTCACTTTAAGAACCTATGGGAATCTGTGTATCATAGATCTTGAGGACCTAGGGATACTTCTTTATAATACCTCTTGAGAACCTTTGGGTAATCCTATATAAGCGTGCTGAGACTCGCTTTCTTATAGAAATAGTTGACCTTTCACCACTGACCTCGAAATCTAATTGGTCAGGAAACTGATCAATGGGAGAGGGACCAGCCGTGGCACTTAACATTATTATATAGATTACGACAAACTCGTTATGCCTTTATCAGTATCCTCAAATATCGTATCCTCAGATATCTTCACGGCTTTACTCTCAATAGTACACCGGAATTCTCGAATTTCCAAGCGGTTTGTACAACGATTTGCGATTTCCGAGAAAAAAACGCTTCTTTTAGAATGAATGGGTTTGTGTTCTGATAACTCTCGATCACATACTAATGCTTACAATACTACTGATGTATATAGTAGATAATGTTCAACTTTATACACATCATTCTGGTCATTATAAAGGCTGCTGTCGTCTTTTAAGTATATATACTCGTAAAGCATGAATCGATATTCATTTACCTAATTGAGTGTCTTTTTGGATAAGTTGTTCTTTAAGTCGTTTAATTTCGTTCTGTTGTTCGTTTATTTGAGGGATCTGCCGAGTTATCTGATCTTTCAGTTGTTGATATTTTGTAATTAACTCACTGATAGCAGGCTTAACTTTATCAATTGATGCAAACTCACAAACAAGTAGGTGTTGATTGAGCTGATCACGCTGTCCTGTCCATGTACAATTAACATCTGCTGCTGAACAGGATACAACTATCTTCAAACATCCTTTCTGAATGTGATCATCAAAATTTCCTCGCCATAAGTCATCTTGTCCACAAACTATGCATTTGACTGGAATTCGATCAAGCAGATTGCGAATTATAATTGCAGGTCGCGTAAGAACGTCGATAGACAGATCCTTTCGACAAATAGGACAAGAAAAATTTGGTGTCTGAATCCACTTCATAATACATTCACGACAAAATGTTTCATCACATGGAGTACAACATGGATCTTTCAAGGGTGAATGACAAATACTGCAAATCAATTCTCGATCGATAGACGCTTCGTCCATATATTCGTATGTTGTGGTCATTCTTAAGGATTCTTTATTCATATTTATCTAAAATAAGATCAGTACTGATCAAACATGAAAGTATTCTCACATACATTCAACGTCGTCATCATTAATTTCTTCTTTCTCCTTTGGTCGACCAATTTCTTCCTAATGTATTCTTTTGATTTTCATGATGCCCTTGTCGACTACTCTAGTCCCGAGGGAAAAAACCTGCCCGAATTCCGCCAATTATCAACTAAAAATCACTGAAAAAAAGAAGAATGTATACAGACCACATTCTCCATGGAACTCACGGAACTGTCTGTGTATTTGCATGAGTCTCCACGCTTAGTATCTCGAGAAAAAGCATATGCGTCGAACTCGAAAGTTGAATTCAACTCTTCAACTATTCGATATCGAAGATGAGGGAAAAGAGAAGAGTCAAAGGGCTTCACCTTACATGAGATTGGTGGTATAAAGAATGATGAATCACAGCGGATAATTGAATCGTTGAACTCAACGTTCGAGTGTCACACTACTGAGAAAAAGCAGATTGGATTTTTAACTAATTGGGCACTGTTTGCAACGCTTATCGGTTGATATTGTGACGAGATCGTCGTCTTGATACAATATGAAGCAGCATTCATGTACATATTAATTTTCGAGTCCAGACCAAGAGGAAACAAATTGATTTCATGATTTCAGCTTGATTGGCGTTGGTGAAATTAGCTTGTTCCTCCTTAGTCCATCTTGAGGGTGTGGGTGTGAGTGGGGATGAATGTAGTTGTGAGTGTCGGTGAATATTATTTTTTTTTCTTTTCCATCCACCCATGCCCACACTCACACCGTTACCCTCACGATGGCTAACTTCGCCTACGTCTTATCTTAAAAAGTAAGAGTGCAATAAAGCGAAAAAATACCAAATTGGACGAAGGTAATGTGTCTCACCGGCGTATTCAAGATTTTTAGATGAACAAGCAAGCTTCGGTTGAGTCGAAAAAGCATTTTAGGCAAAATGGATAAGATTCTTTTTGATAAGTGAAAGAGTTTTAGTTCAATAAGATAGTAATAACGCAAAAAAGCACAGAATAAAATGATGATTTTCAATAAAATGTGCATTAAACTCAGATGTTAAGTCTGGATGAGATGTCTTTTAGTCTATTTTTAATGTCTCTGTTCATAATATTTATATTATAAATTCAAACATTAAAGTGAAGACGACGAGAATGCATTTACGTACACAAACTCAATATCTCATTCGAATTCACATTGAGATCTGCATGAGTATGCACAGTAGTAAGGCCTTCACTTCGCTAATGGTTTCCTAATAAAATGATACTCATATTCATCCAAACTTAAAGTTGAAATATAAGAAGCGATTCTCTTGTTCTTCTCTTCTCTTCTCTTCTTCATTCTTCACAAGAAGAACAAGTAGAGAGTGCGTATATGATTCATATAGAAGAATAACATTTAGTTACTATCTTATTTGAAACTATATACAGAATTTTGAAAAGTAAAATTTAAATGGACAAAGCTTCAGATGAATTAGGTAGTTATCCATTTTTCTTCCCTCGTTTACACCAGTGGTGTATGTATTACTGTGCAAAAAGTTTGAATATAATACCCACATTCACAAGATGATTAAACTTACTCCGTCATCCACATGCAAACTGTCGCCCTATCCATCCCTACTCAACATATACATATATACTCACACTTTTCAAGATTTTTGTTGTTATCTTTTGCAAGAAGAGAAGAAACTCTATGAAGATAAATAATATCATCGTCAGTAAAAGAAAAAGAAATATTTCTTACCAACTTGGATGTGTAACCTTATTTATCATTCTTTTAAAATCAAGATAAAAGAAGTTATTTACCTTCATATAAAAAAGGTGAATCATGTATAATGTGCATACTTTTATTCGTTCTGACAAAAGAAACTATTATCAACATACACGTCCAAAAAGACAGAATAGCAATGATTCATAAAATAACCAAAGTCACCAAGTATTACTCAACATATCTTCTTTTACAGGGTTTTTTTCCTTTTCGAGATCAATGTGTGTGAAGTAGAGTTTAAATGGATATCCTTGTATGAACTGTTACCCACTTTAACCACAAAAGTTATCATAAGCTTAAAGTTTAATTAGATTCACAGGCCAGGGTTTTGAGTTTTCAATGATTCTAGATATCACAGAGATGTTCATTTGAGAGTATATATGAAGATACGGGTCAAAATGATGTGGTTTGCCATTTAGAGTTTGCGATGTGAGAATCGCATGAGTATGAAATGATTGAGAGGTGATTATAATATTCATATCCATATTTGCCTCTTGACATCCACATCAAGCTGTCTACTATCATCTTCGTTGTCATGGTCGTCCTTAGACTTACTCTCATCCATCCTTCAGATATGATTAAATTGAAAAAATATAAAAATTGTAAAGTATCTTTAATTATTGATGCTTTCAAATCTTGAGGATGTGGTTGTGGATGAATACAAAACTATGTCACACCCACAGTCTACTTTGTTATTGAATTTGATCGATTGAAAATCTTAATTAGAAAATAGAATAGTTAAAGATTATACTTATACAATTTATTTTTAAGATAAATAATAAACCAAACATTTTAAAGATCGATGAAAATAAAATCTAATTCAATAGAATAAGTGAGGGTGTGGGTGTGTGGGTAGAAGATGATCCTAACACCCACACCCACCCACATGTGCTGACTGGTGATTTGAATACTTTAAGTAAAGAAGAAAAAAACAAACACGAGGTAGTTGACACACGTTTTTTACGCAAAAGAATCGAGAACGTTGTGCTGACGACGATAATTTCAGTTCTTTCAACGCATGCTCATTCCGCGAAAAGAGAAAAATGGAGAATAACAGCAGTCAGTCGATGTATGAGACGTAAAAGAAATATTTTAATCTTTCATCAAAAAAGAGGGAACCAGAACATTCTCGAAGTCATTTCTTCTCATGGTGTATAAATGACTACACAAAAAACAAGTAATCTCTATTGGGCATGTCGCAATGATGATATAGATACAGTGAAGAAAATTTTGCCAAAGTTAAAATTAACCAATATCAACCTCATTGAATCGAATGGCAGCACCGCTCTACACGCCGCTTCATTTTATGGTCATGCCAACATTGTTCGTCTTTTACTTCAACAAGGCGCTCAGACAGATATTCGTAATAAATATGACAAAACAGCTGAAGAAGAAGCATCAACGGATGAAGTTCGAGCGGCGTTTAAATCGTCTTCGCAAACAGGCGCAACAGATGACGATGATGATATACCACACTCAGAATTTGTTGCACTTTATCCGAACTCAGAAGGTAAAAATAAATCTGAGTTAGCAACGAATATTCTCAAGATAAGATGGGGAATTCATCAAGCACATAAATATACTATCGCAGCGGCGTCGAATTTGGAGCATCTGGAAAAACAATATCGAAAGAAGTGTGAAGAAAAAGAAAACGAATCTCTTTGTGACGCAAGAAATCGTGGCAAAAAACTTTTTGAAAAATATCGAGAAACAGGTAATTTTGATTGCATGATTGAACTTTACCTTATGGAAACACCTTTTTATCTATTGGTTCAGAAAGATGAAACATTTCTTATCGACATGTATAAACACTTAGTTCGATATGACAAGTATATTTTTCAAGGATTCGCTTATCGCGGAGTAAGCTTCTTTACAGAAGACTTTGAACCATACTACTGGGCTCTTAAACATTCAAAATGCTTACTGGAATTCTGCAAAGTAACAGGAGCATCCAAAAAGCGAGACTATGCCTTGAGGTATATGTACCACCCTCAAGATGATCGTCAACCTGTTCTTTTCGAAATTGAGTTCGCCGAAGGATGTTTCAGCGCGATTGACGCCGTGTCATTCTCTGATTTTCCAGACGAAGATGAAGTTCTTATCTTATCAGGAACGTTCTTCGAAGTAACCCAAATACGAAAAGACAAGTCGGATGCAACCATCATTTCACTAAAGAATGTGCCAGTCAATAAAGCTGTAGTATTAACATTGATTCAGTAGTTCATATAGATATATATGTATGTTGGTAATTTTGCCGAAAATGAAGACATTTGCTGCAAATCTCGTTTATTAATATAAGAAAGTTAAAACAGTCTACCATACTTCTGATTCTTTTTTCGGAAAATTGCTAGAGTTATTTTTGAAATGTAGAAACCATTTTGAGGGTGCGAGTGTGGATGCGTTTTTTCCTTAAATACGCATACACATGCATAGCCACGTTCACATCTACTCTTCTACATCTTCTAGATACCAGTTTTTTCACCTTTTTATTCGGAGTCAAAAGAAGCATGCATTCGTTTTAGGGATTCTGAAGTTCAGAGTGTGGGTGTGAGCGTAGATGAATATTCTATTTTTCCTTTCTACTCACAACTGCACTCACACTCAAGATGGTTCAATAAGATATTATTAACGCAAAAAAAACACACGAGATGAAATGATGATTTTCAATAAAATATACATTAATCTCACAGGTTAAGTCTCGATAAGATGCGTTTGTAAATCCAAACATCAACGTGAAGACGGCAAGAATGTATTTATGTACACTATTTCAATATCTCATTTGAATTCAAATCAAGATCTTCATGCGTATACACAGTAACAAGCTCTTTACTTCGCTGATGTTTTCCTAATAACATCATACTCATGTTCATCCAAACTTAAAGTTAAAATTCAAGACACGATCCTTTTTTTTCTTCATTCTTCATAAGAAGAACAAGCAGGAAAGTGCGTATAATTCATACGGAAGAATAACATTCAGCTACTATCGTATTTGAAAATATATACAAAATTTTGAAAAAATAAAAGATTATAAATAATAGTTTTTTATCTTTTTATTAATAATAAATAAATTAATGTAAAATATTTATTCTGTTAAAATATAGAGCAATTTGTATAATAACTGAAAAAACAAATGTAATCAATTAACCCTTTAAGTACCATAGCTCAGCCAATGAATGAAACTTTGTTAGGACTTTATTTCTAACATGTATATTGTATGTTGTGAATATTTTCATTGAAAATTTTGAAAAAACTTTCGAAGTCATTTTCGATCAATACCCGTACCCCCTTACGGCACGGTGGTACTTGAAGGATTATTAAAATGATAAATACCGCGCGAATACAAGCACCTACATGTCCCCTATGCCACAATAACAAGTGCACTTCGATATTGTTTCGCATTCGCAATTTATTCAGAATTTGTCAAATTTTAAAGAGTGGGACTTATAGGCCCCGTTGGTACTTAAAGGGTTAATCTATAATGATCAATGTTGAAATTATTTCCTAAACATTGATTTTGTGTTGATATTTGTAGAGAAGTAACTATAATGAAGATATGAATTGAGTCTCTTGTTCTCAACTTCACAGCAAAAACATTTTTTAATAAAAGAATTGATATAAGCTTGAGATTTTATACAAATATTGATCACAAAATATGTAAACCAAAGTTTTTTACATTTATACAGAAACTGATAAAACATCAACATATTTTATTCTCTCAAAAAAAAGATATTTTATTTTTTTAAGTAAATCACTAATAGAATCGAAAAAAGTCTATAAACTCTTTTATCAAATAGGAATATAAAAAAATATTAGATTAGACATTATTTAATTATTTATTCTTAACTATAAAAACGATTAAATAAAATATTCAAATATATTTAATTTAAACTTTTCATTTAGTATTGCTTAACTTTGGTGTTTTTTCGAGAATTTATTAACTCCTGTATTCTAAATTATGCAACTAATATCCAATCACTTTTATTGATTATACCTGATTTTGATTCAAATTATTTTTCTCGAATAAAACATCTCCAGATTTTGACTTCAGTATAAAGTTTTCATAGATAATTGTATCTTTGGTACAAAAAGAATTATTTTGTTTCATAAATATAGTTTCACAAAATAATTTTGATATAAATCATGAAGGAAATAATTATATATATCAAATGATAATAATCAATACAGATATTTTACATTGAATTATGTTATGAATCTTTTGTATATATGACAAATATCGATAAAATAAACAATAGTAAATGTATTAAACTAAATATTTATTTTAAAGTTCGGACAGCAATGTTTTAGAATAATTCACTTGTACAAATGATAACAAGTGATTTATTTCTATATACCAGAATAACTTGATTACAATATGTTTTTTCATTTGTCTTATCACATATACTTTGATGATCCTTTTCACATTTTTATAGAATTTTGGAACGTTGGAAAATAATTATATTTCATAAATTTGTGGCAAAGATTGTATTATCAACAAAATCTTTTAATTAAATTCTACTTACCTTCGATAAAAAAGTAAAGTGTTCTTAAAATGATCAAACAAAAGAATTTTCATTGATTAAATCAATAAAGATCATTTGTATTGTTATTTAATAGACATTTTTCTCATAATAATAATTTATATTATTATTAATATTCAAATTAAGAAACAATTTGAGAGAAAATTTCTAAATCAATAATATACATATTTTATATTAATTTATCAAAGAAATGTTTTCGAAATAATATAAAAATTTAGTAATTTTCGATAATAAGTCATGATTATCTTTAAAATTCATTATTTATTATATCACACATAGTTTAACTTATTCCAGTGAATCTAATAGTATATAACTATACACATTGAATGTAATATAATTATTTTATATAAAATTAAATGTATATTTTTAATTATTTAAAATCAAAATAATTATATGACTACTAAAGATAATTTACATTAGAAATATAAATGATTATATGAAAGCAAAAAAAATGAAACCATTGTGTATTAAAATAATTTTTTATACAAAGTTTGATTATGTATCTGAGAAAATCTTATTTTTATTTTCTTTTATTATATTAATTTATTATAAACAAAATATCTGTTGATCAACTTCAATAATTCAAAAACTTATAGTCAAGTCTAAGCTTACAAATTCAAATTCATATCCCACAAGTTTTTAGATTTGTTGTATCTTCAGATACAATATTCTTCCCTTTAACATACAATAATACATTCTCCTAATGAAAAAGTACAACAATATACCCTTATCTTGAAAGTCTTCAATACTCTACTGCCGTCTGTTAACCAAATTATACCTATGATAAACCCTTGGATTGATAAACACTTTCACTAGGCATAAACCATTTCAGAGTTTATTAGTACCATTTTAAAGAGGAAGAGTAGATCATTATTTAGATTTTTTTCAGCGTGAATAATACTCGTTTTTGAGAATTTTCATCATCATAACACGCAATGGTTGCACATAAAATGAATGATACATATTATCGAACATCAAACTTTCGCATCTAATTGCCTTTGTATATCTCATTAATGAAAGATACATATTTAAACTTTTGCATCTAATTGGTATTGTATATCTCACTAATGAAAAACAACTCATCAATAAATAAAATTTGTTTTTCTCTAATGATACTAATTATACATAATAGGCATTACCTATCTGAGAAAAAAAAATAATGATATATATTGCCATTTGTATTTAATTGCTTGCTTGTTATTTCATCAAGACAAAAGCAAGCGGAGGCAGGCAGAAAAATAATTGTGCATCACTCAACCGTGAATGAAAGAAAATATAAGAGCGTGCGCTCATTATATATTTGCGTAGCTATTTTCTTTCGTTCATATTCACAACAAACGTATTGGTACATTCTTCTTCGACGTTGATCCTGTTTGGGTATTGTGCAATTTCTATTGAATTTCTCTCAATAACGCGATACCCTTCATAGTAAACATCGTTTAACTGCTGAGAAGCTCTGCAATTTTGAAACTAGATTCTGGGATGTCTCTGAAACATCAGATATATCTCTAACTGACATTCAGTTTGATTAAATATTCAAAAGCGCTCTTTACCTAGTCTAACTGACAACTTAATTAAACTGATTTTACAACAAGTTAATCATTCCTATGAAAGGGGTGAGATCCGGTTAAAATTCATTTATGCTTGAAGTCGAATTAGACAGCTACTTCCAAATGAGCTATCGACTAAACAAATGTGCCTGTTCTAACTGACGCGCAGCCTGACTGGGCGCACAATCAGATTGAGTATTCCATGTGGCTTGGCCACCCACTTAAATCCTATTCGTTAATTATCAATGTTCACAAGTAAAGTCTCTTCAACATAGGATGATAACAGTTGTGAGTTAGAATTCTGTTTATAAACAGAAGCTTGTAAACTCTAAATTTCGAGGGAACCTCTCTTCATTTCACAATGTTCATATAGAAATTCATTTCAGATTTTCTTTATTTCAAAACAACGCGCTCTCAACTGACTCAAATTCATGGCTCATTTAAGATTAAAACGTCCTCCAAAGTGAGTTTCAGTATCTCTGATGAACTTTTTCATATTTTATTAATTGAATAGGCCTTCTAAACTTGGCTTTTCCGTACTAGTAATATCTGCTCTCATATGGACAACAATTTTTTCGCTGATTCCTCTCTATGTATCAAATAGCGATTTTAATATGACAAACATCAAGAATATCACCACCATGCAAACATTACTGGCCACTAGTTAGTATTTATTTGTTATTTTCATCATATATATACGTAATTTTTACTAGAAAACTCACTTACTTCGTTCAGTGTCTCTTACATGTTGCCACCTGGATTAACAAGAAAGCGCGCTACGCAATCCGTCACCAACCGGGCTACAACCGCTGCTTCTGTAATTTTTATCTTTGATGTTAATTTATAATATTTAATATATTTTAGCTACAACAAGCAGTCGGTGCTCCCAAAGGTTCCATTGGTGTCATTGGTATAGGCAGTGCAGCAGCAAACATCGCCAAAGGTCGACGTCGTCGCGAGTAATTTTCTTTTTAATTAACTTCAGTTATTCATATATATATCTATGACTGTACATATAGTGTTCAATGCGACAAAACAAATACTCCAGGTGTTGCTATTATCTTTGATATCCTACTGGATTATCCACAAAATTTAGCATGCCAGTCGTTAACCTGCCAAGTCAATCTATTTA